TTAAGTGTTGCATATTTGCATTTTATATTGTAGTAATTCAAAGATTTTGGAACATTTAAAGCATTGTATAAAAAAATATATATATATATATTTTTTTTCTGACCATGTGAAAAAAAAAGTACCATAATGTAGGTTAACTTCATTATTTTCATGAAAACCATAAATCATGTAAGTTTTTTTAAAATCTTATTAAATACAAACAGGAATAGTTACATTGAATAAAGCAATGATGTTCATGAGTCCAAATAACTGAAACAAAGTAGCATTTAAACAAATTAGAATTCAAAACTCAAATTCTATTCCTATTGTTTGTTTATTTTGTGACTTACCTTTGTAAATATTCACAGTACATATTTACCTATGTCTTTTGCAACCAACTAGACAAATAGCCAAAAATAAAGGAAATAGTTTTTATTAATCGCAAATTAATAGGAACAATGTAACATATTTAAACATCGATTATACAGTTATTTTTGTCTTACATCCTAAATCTTTCTAGTGTTTTGTCAATACATTTTTGTAAATAATTATTGGGGGATTCAAGTTAAGCCAAAGTCCTCCCCCACCCACCTGAATGCCACATAGAGGCAATGTTGCCTTTCTAATTGATAATGCCCTTGATCATATAACATTATCTTGAAAATATTTTTCAAATTGCCCAGAATACAATTCCATATCACATAAAATTTTTAAATCAAAAAACTTCTGATACATTTGCTTTGACAAGACATATAGTTTTTAAATAAGTGATTTCAAAATACAGTGGGTTGTGGAAAAATAACATTGAGTCAAGAAGTTGCCATTTTTGAGATATTGATGCCATTTTGGAAAAGTGTTTGAAATACTTTCTTGCAATGAAACACAGTTAGAAAAAAGTTCCTGGTCAGGAGATATACAAGCAAACAAATGTATGTCACACCAGCTTACATATAAATATTAAATCTTATAAGGTAAGAAAGGGGAAAAAGTGATGAGTCATATGATCTGGAAGAACGAAACAGTATACTCAGTATACAAACAATAAATTCAATGGAAAGAGCCTCAGGCTGGAGAAACATTGTATAATCTTCAATAGCTTTTTTCTCGATTATAAGTCAAACTGACTCATCAATTTCTCCCTCTATTTCATTTGTAATTTTTGGAAAGGAAGATAACATTTCCAAATTCTTAAGACACAGAACATTTTGTGATATATACTTAATTTTACACTGCTATTATGCTTCTCAGCAATTTTTCCCTGTCTACACACCTTTTCACATTTAATATCACATGATTTACATATGAAGACACAATAAAGAACATAACATTTAACATCCAAACATATATTTCCATCAAATTTTATGATTTTTTTGGTTCTTTCAATACATCACATTAAAGTTTGCCTGTTCATTTTTAAGAATTTCTGAAACATTTAGCAACTAGATAAAGAACAAACTTCCCATTTATTTATTCTGAGTAAATAAATAATATACTCAGTAAAAAAAGTACTTGTTCAGAAAAATTTTAGACAGTTGCAACACATTTTAAATATTAAAGTAAACATGTTTAATCTGAAGAAAAGTCTTGATCAAATGAAAAAGATTCACGTGACAGAAAACTCAGTACTGCTTTTGGTGTATTTGTACATTTAACTTCAGTATAATATATCGAATGTACTAAAAGAAAGAAATGAGGGGTTTGATTTTAAGGTTAACAGTATTTTGTAATCACGTTTCTTTGAAAGTCATGGTATTTGTTTTTCATGTAGACTTCACAATTATTTTTAAGATTATTTTTCAAAATTAATTTTTATATCACAATTTGTCACTGATACACCTGATCTCGAAATGTATATCAATACATGAAGGTGAAAAATACAAAGTTGCAAATATATTGAGCAACCTACACTGGAAGGGTATTTAAATACCTTTACAACAACTTGTCATTGTACATATAAATCTTTATAAAATCTTTCACAATGGAGATAATTAATGATGAATTTTACTATTACAGCTTCAAAATATTGAGCTTATTTATTTGGGCTGTAAATGTCTTATTCTGGCATTCATTAAATCCTTAAAAAAAATTCATTAATTATCCCATGAAAACTCAATTTTTAAATCCTTTCTTCTAAAATTTAGAAATAGAATCAATTGCTTTTCTCCATTGTCAAAACCCATTAAAAAATACACACTTCAAAATATGAAGTAGAAAGAATGTATACTCATTGAGTCACAGTATCCACCAGTTAATAAAGTGTACACAAATATATCAGATTATATTACTCTGAATGCATAGATGTACATTTTGTAAAAAATGTTAGGAATTTTTTTCTGAAAGCTATCATAAATACATGTATCTAAGCATAGAAAATATTGTTGTAAACACAAATACACAGCAATAAAGGCTGTACTTTAACTTGACTAAAAATAGCTCCCTTCTTTCTCTTAATTTTAAAAATGTTTCTATTTAATAAACAATTGATGTTTAATTCAAATTCTCAAACAATTTTTTTCTTTCCATAACCATGCTACATTCAATTGATATGATTCGTTTACAATAGCAAAAAACAATTGAAGGGCTTGGAGCAGTTAACAAGGTATGTCACGTCAGGCATCCTGCTATTTATACATGTTAAAATCTTGATTTTGGTCAAAGTGTGTCACAACTTGTTACTGATTCAAGCCCTTCATAAATATGAACAACCCATATGAAGGGCTTGTCATAATAGCTACAGAACGTCTTCCGCCATTTGTAAATGTTAATATCTCAATTTTTTGGTGTAAGTATGGTTTATCCCGTTATTATATATGTTGTGTTGACACTTTAAGGGTAGAGGCAGTACCAAATTGTTAACACCCCAAAATCGAGGTATTAAAATTTACACTTAGAAGACTTGCTGTAGCTGGTATGGCTTATCTTGTTACTACCCCCAAGCCCTCTATATACAGTAACAATTTACACCACTTTCACCCAAATTGAGATGTTAACATTTACAAATAGTAGAAGGGTTGCTGTGGCCAATCTTGTTTCTGTACCAAGCTATACCAGTCTGAACTATAACCATACCATACCATTTTCTTGCAACAACTGAAAAGAAATCTATGAAATAAAGAAATACTGAACACTGCAAAACAAATACAATGATATTAGTGTGATAATTTCTTTGAGAAGTAATTGTAAAACAACATAAAATTTCAGTAAAAAAGTCGAAATTTTCAGTATTGCTGCAGAGAAAATTGACTAAATCAACCAACTACTTGAATTTCATTGAATGTAACGTGAAATAAAATAATACAACTTTTGGAAAACTGAAGTTTTCTTCTAAATTTAAGAGGTACAATCGATAAATTATTACAGGGAATTTTAGAACTTGCAAATTAATTATTTATGAGCAAATTAATTAAAATGATACAAATATATCCTCTGATGATGGTTCACAAAAATTATACAGAAATGATGGATTGAAGAAATGATGGAATTATGAAGAAGCGATGGATTGACCAGTCTGCACACAACAATTAAATGGGAAAGGGGTGCCCCTAGAAAATTTAGAAAGAGGTATACCAAGAAGAAAAACCACACAAAGCGGTTAATTCAATATAAGTTTTTTTGGTATTGGTGGTCTCATAGCCACTTGAATGCAAAACCAAATAACAAAAGATCTGAAGTTTGATAAGTCGAGGAGACACCTGCCAAATAATTACACAGAAATCCAAAGCCATGGACTTTTGACAAATATATAATCTGTAAAATACATCATGTAGATATCCCAGCACAAATGATACTACTGGATAATATGATAAGGCAAATCACAATTACAAAAAACAGTTTGAACATATATTCCAGGATAAAGCATTGCATTTCCTTATATTGATGATGTGGTACACAAATATGATGAGATTTTGGGTGGTTGAGTTTTGTGTCTCAATTTACATTTGTGTTGAATGTCCTGATACAGGGTTACATTCTAAGAACTCCAATTAAGAATCAAAGACTGTCAAAACATTTAATTTTCTGTTTCATAATGTATTATAGTTTTCATGAATGATTTTAAAGTAATGGGGGTAAAAGTTTTAGGACACTTAAAAATCTATTCTCCTTTTGTTTATGTTACTTGAAGTATATAATTTTGAACAGTGATTTCTCAAATATTCTGTTTTTGCACTTATCGCACTTTTACGTTACACTACCGAAATGATTTTTTTCGTGTGGTTTTGGCTATCACCCAGAACATATTTGATACTATAAAAAGTACCATGATAAACCTGAAACATGTATCTTTAACAGCATGACTTACTCTGTATCATAAGAAAAGACAAGACAAATTACAGAATTTATAATATATCTTACATACAGCTAGCACACTGATGATTAGGGAACGGAATTTACTGTAATTAAAAAAGCAAAATATGTTCATATACATGTATTTATTTTTTCCAAAGTATGTAGGAAAATTAGAAAATATGTGGAATAAAAATGCATTATAGTGTTTAAAATTTCTCTACAAAATAAAAGCATTTTCTGAGCACGGAACATCACCGAATTTCATTCGAAATATAATATACCTTCGTAGTATGAATAATGTTGGACAAGGAAACGGTGATCAAGTTAATATTAGTAATGTAGACAGTGATGGATCACGGAGAGAAAAAGGATTCCCCAAATCGTGATAAAGCAATGATCTGTAAAAAAAATTTGTTCATTTTTGATGGAGGGTTGAAATTACTACCGGTTCACAAACATATGCTCATTCTTGACTCCGAGTATGTGGTTTCTAAGAAGCCGGGGGGTGCAAGTTTGAAAATTCGTAGCAAAGATCCAGTGGTCATAGAAGTGTGGTAGCATTACGTTGCTTTATAAGAAAGATGATTCAAGAAACATACTGAAAACTCACACCAGAAATGTTCCTTTTCGACATACATATATATTAAAATGTAACGAAATATGTAGCAATATATAAAAATATGTAAAATAAAAATGGTTCTAATTAATTAAGAATGTCTTGTTAATTCTAAAAAACTATTACTGAATGCAGATATCTTGTTTCTGAAAAAACATGTAATTACAAGAAAATCCGTTCCCAACTGATGATGAAAAATAAATTGAACTACATTTAAGATAAGTCAACCCACACAAATTTCTCTCCATATAAATATTACAAAAATACTCAGAAGTAAATGCAGCATTCTCATGAATAAAGCATAGACAAGTTTTTCACAAAATTAGAAGGTATTCCTCACTGATTATCAAAACAAAAAAAAATAAATTTGAGCAACATGAAGTATTGCAGAGAATTTCATTATGAGAAGAATTAAACTTTTAGTTCAAGTACACTTATCTAAAAATTGGCACTTTAAATGCAAGCACAAACAGTAAAAAAGTATATTTTTAACAAAAGAAACTGGTATTTCTCCTCATAAAGTAATGTTTCATGACCCTGCAAACAATATTGCTTAAAAGTGTATTTCAATTAAATTCTAGCAGAACATTTGATTGGTTATATTAGGACATTGCTATCATGAAGAAACAATGGATGTCATTTCCATCAACTTAATATATACAGCTATCATTGGGTACACATCTGTGCTGACATTACAGTTATCATCTGTGTACATGGTATTATGCTGAAGAAACTGAAAAACCCACACACACTTGAGAAATTGACAATAAATTAAATATGGTACACAGCCTAATATATTATTCCTGGAAGTTTAAATGTATAAGATATGGAAATTTTCTAAGTTTACAATAGTACATTCAATAGTCAATTATGTTTTAGGAACATGTGAACAGATCCCATGTTTTCTCGTAATAATCCCAGCAAATCCAGTTACACCCTGTCCTATTCTTTCCAAACTTATATCACACAATACTATTACATTCTCCTATATTAAGCTATCAGTGCAAGAGTGGTCTATGCCTGAATTATGTTCTTGGATATATATTTTTACATTTCAGAATATTAATTTCTGAGTTTTACACCTGGCACAAATGTACAGTTTTTAAACAATTAGAGGTGGCACATGGACCCAAAGTAATGTACATGAGTCTGGGAATGTCTCAGTAGCCTCCTGAATCTCTATAATCTGCATACTGAGATTTGAATTTAATTTTTAGAAATAGTATTTATGCAAATGCCAGATCCTGCCTGGGTCCTTGTAACATTGCATGCCACCTCTGGCATGTTAAAAAATGTTGTTATACATTACTGTCCATAACAGTGTCAAGCATGGCAACTTAAACATTATTTCTTCTGTCGGTTAGGTCACTATTACATTGAGAAAGTTTACTCGAGACCTTTGAGAAAAGGAAGTGAGGCTATTATTTCAAGAAACATTTTATTCAGTATTATACAATTCATCAAATAATGTATCTTCAGGCAGGATTTCTGCAGACTCTTTTACAACTGACGAAACGCTCTAGAAATAGTGTGCTCGAGCTGAATCTAGAGTGCGATTGGATTTCTCTAGTGAAAACCATTCCTTTCCCATTTGTGAAATGAAGTATTATCAAATACATAAATATTTTTGAGTTTGCCATCAAATTGAAAAGAAGAATGTCGAATTTCCAAAAAGACAGGGTGGCAATTGTGGCCCATGCTGCAAAGACCCACAATACATTCAACAGACCTCTATTGTACAAACTGCAACATAGTCACGTAAAAAAAATAATTTTGTTTTGCAGTATGTGATGAACACATTCAACTCAAATGACAAAAATGTAATTTTCGCCATTTTTGCACAGATAGCTCGCATAGATGTCTCTTCCTCTCTATTTATCTACCAATATAACAGCAACTCAGTCTTTGTCAAAATGACATTAATACACTCATGCTCCTGTTGCAACAACCAAGATCAGTAGCATGCATCATTGCACAGAAATTCCACAAAGCATCAGAGGGAAAGGAAATTTAATTAATGCAAAGCAGGAGTGGGGGAGGGTGGATTAAAAAAAGAAAGTGTTTGGTAGCATGCCATATGCACACATTAAAGCACATTTTCAGGGAGGGTTTAAAACATATATAGTTTCATTTCAAATAATATTGTATTTGACAATATAAAACAAAAAAAATCACATAATAAAATATGTAGTCTGCAAGTTCATAACATATATAAACTACACACATTTGATTACGATTGCTTTCTTGGTCAATTTACTCATCTTACATTCCTCAATAAAATTCATAATATTATCTTATCATCTCCATGAGAATGAAAGATTAAAATATACTTTGACGGTGTAGGGCAATGCCCAGAACTAAGGAAAGGGTAACATTGAAATACACATTGAAAATTAACTAGAAAACAAATTAAGGAAGCAAGTAAGTACAGTTGTACATTTATATTATTATTTCAGTACAACATATTGTAAGCTGAGAACACACAATATAACACACTTCAATTCTGACATTCAACACATAACACCTAATACATCACAAGAATATTTTAATATATATTTGGTGACAAGTGTACCACATTCTTCATAAACAAGAAGCTTACAACACATTCTGGCATGACATCTTGAATCATGAAAGATTTTGATCACACAAATGTACAACACATAACCATCAAAAGTTCGAAACTACTTTTATTTAAGCATTAGTTGGGTAATCAGACAAAGACAATGCAAAATAAAAATAAATAAATAAAATTTCAATCATTGGCTTACTACGTTGGGAAGCAATGATTACACCAATTGTTTAGCAGTCAACATGCAATAATTTTTGAGAACAGAACATATACATCATACAATCTATTGTATCGATTTTTTCATGTTAATGAGTACACTATTATAGACAGTACTACCATTGAGTTCAATAAACAAAACCGAAAATAAAGAAATGGTAACAACAAATTACTAGTAGTAAAACCTTGTTAACCTGAAATGCAAGTGGATTTAGAGTTTATAATAACAAACATCATTCAATTGACGAATTAAGAAGCAAATTATTCATTAATAAATTGCACTGTCCGCATCCAAACCCAAACAATTTTTTTTTTTTTTGAAAATTTAACTTCTATACACAACGGGCAAAATAAGGGGTGTTGCACAATTTGCTAGAAATAATCTTTCCATACAAGCCTTTAACCATCCATAGAAATTCCCGATTTCTTTTGAAAAAATCCCTTCTATAATCTATAAGGATAGATTATCTCGTGTCTATAGCAAACTAAAATAAAAATCTCAACTTTCAATTTTATTTGCATTTTCTAATCATGCAACGGATTTTGAAAAATGCAATCGACTAGGGAAAAAATCACAATTAATTCTATTTAAATAAAACAATACTTGCTACTCCACTTTCATTCTTCTCATGAGCAATTAGAAAACAATTCTATACAAAATGCACTTTTTGGTACCTGTTCCATAGGAGGCAAAAAATAGTACTTTGAAATTTTGACCAACTTGCAAATATTCTCTATATAATAATTAAATTAATCATTTTAAATAAGAATTAAATTCATATTTCAAATAAGGTTAAATTAAACCTTTGCACAATACTAAATAAAAATTAGATTGGACAAAATGTATTCAATAAAGACAAAAGTGTAATTCACTTTGCCAATTAAATTAAATCTTAAGTTTCACCCACCAGACACATACCAACCAGACTTTTGTCAGGGTTAATAAGTCCATATACTGCATTATATAAATTGTATATCCAGACTAACAATCTCATTCTTATCTCTCTTCTAATTTATCAAAATTACCTTTGTTCCAATCACGCAAATAAACTCTCATATAAAATATATAGAGACATTATTTAAATCTGAAAATAAGTCTTCCAAAACAATATCTTGCACTGTCCCTTAATATGAAGTTACTATTCAAACCTCTTTCCATTCTATTCTGTGCAATTAACATTATCATAATCAGCAACTTCAGAATAACAAAAGATTTGTAAAAAAATATGTTGACAATCAATTCAACTGAGTTTTTTTTAACCTTAACAAGGTTTTACAACATTCACCACTGGACAGCACTTTATACACAGCAGATCAAGAAAATCATAATACTGATCAACAAAAACCAGTGATCTCAAATTTAAAAGGGAAATGTTATAGACTAGTTTTTTAGAGATCACAATTTACCATCAAATTTTAATAGTAAAATTAATATAAACATATATTCATTCAATGAACAGCATATTCCCAATATTGTTATGTCTCACATCTTCAATACGACAGAATTCTTCGTACTTTGTGAACCCTCGTTGAAATTCTGCGTACAATGGGAGTTGTATTCATTTTAGTTGTGTTTTTATCAACGTTTTCATTTGTACATTTAGAGGTATCAGAATCTCTAACTGAGGTCAGGTCTTCCTCCAAAGATGATTTTTCTCCAATTGAGTGTATTTTAGACTGGACATTTAGCTTGTTACTGCAAGGTGTCGTTAATTCACTGTCAGCATTTGAAGATTTTTTAGCTGACAGATCTCTGGCATGTTTATGTAATAACCTCATTGGAAGAGGACTTATCTCATATTTTTCAGAGTCTTCTGGTTCTTCCATCATTTCTCTAAATTGACCTTCAGTAACCTTAGTCATGTTTACTAGAATTCTCATCATTCCATTTGAGCCTTCAATTTCATTAAGCCAAGCAGGACCATGCAGATCATGGTCAGAGGCCGCTTCACTTGATGTGGGACTCTGAGATTCATGCTCAGGTATTTCAGGAGAAGCATTTTTCTCTGCTTGTCCACGGCGCTTCCTTTGTTTACGAGGATTCATCCTCTCACTAGCATAAAGGAATTTTCTTTTCTTCAATTCTTTTACAAAAGCAGGAGATTCATAGCGTTCTGTTTTATAAGCTGGAAACTGATCAGCTGGTGCCTTTGCTCCAATTCTACGGCATTCTTCTATCCAAAGGACAGATACAAGTGGAATGCCACGCTTTTTTGCTTTCTTGTAGGTAGAGACATGGCCATCATTGAATAAAATTATTGAAACCTGAAACATTTTACATGAATCATAAACTATTATTCTGTTATTGACACAATCATCAATATTAAACTTACCGGATCATTTTTTGTGAAAGTTGGAACAACTACAGCTCCCAACTTCTCCAGTTCTTTCTTTATTACAGAGGATATATCCTCATCTGCATGTGATATTACATCCACAAATGCTACAACACCTGCCACAAACACCAAAGAATTGACTTTGAGAAAACTGAAGTAGAAGAAAAATAATATACAATACACACACTATCTTTTACTGCCATGCTTCTGAAAGTATCTTTGGCCCAGACATATTGTCAACTATAAATAAAGCATGCTTTTGTTTAATGAGAAGAATTTTAAATATAAAAACAGTGACAAAGCTTGTGAAGATTATAATTTTCTGGATAATATCCAATGGTAAACACTGATTTCTCATTATTCTGCAATATGTAACGATCACATAAAATGTAAATCAAGAATAATGTCTATGAGTCAATAACTTTATTGAAAATAAATCAACTTTACATTTGTTTCTTTTATTGTTTATTGATTGTGCTTATTAAATTTCTTACAATCAATTTTTCTGTCACAGAGCTGCATTCATTTTTAATTTTTGTTATTTGATATATATATTCATATACAATTTCTTCATAAATTCTTGTAAGCAATGTAAAAGAAAACATTACAAATTAGTTGTATGAAAAAATAATAAAAAAAATGAATTTTACACAAAAGAATAGGAATCTTTCTTGCAAAGGAGACTAGGTCTGAGTATGTAAATATTTAGATCAAACACTCAATGACACAGTTTGAACAATGGTCCAAAAGAAAGGGAGAATAGGACAACAGGAACAATAAAGTAAAGAGCAAAAATAGTTATTGTTAAACAAACTATTTAAAACTCTTAGTACTGCACTGTAGATTATGGCCCTTCACAATCATGATCAACAAAACAAACACATTACATTTACAGATCCAAAGCAAACACACAAATCAATTTAAAATTCTTGTATCCTTCTTTATTGACATGAATCAAAACAAATGGTCTACAAACCTTTTAAGATCTCTGATTCAATAACTTTTCTCCTCTCATCAGACAATCTATCTGCCTGCTTAGCAGCTGCTTCCTTCCTCTTCTGTGCCAACCTATTTAAAAAGTCTCTTGTATAAATCATTGCTCTGAGGGTCGACTCTGGTGTACGCTTCTGAGGATAGCTTGGTGTTGTAACAACTTCCGGAGATTCATCGCTGAGGTCTGGTTCAGGCTCTCGAGGTTCACGTTTCTTCCTTACAGATGGGTTCCTTTTCTTATATGGTCTACGCTGTGGTGTGGTAGATGCAATCTTTTTCATGCACTTGCTAAGTGATCGTTTATATGCAGGTACACCGGACGTCTTCATAAAATGCTTAATATGGGTTTTCAAAGTGTCAGCATTGAAGTTCACTTTAATCCCGTCATGGATAAAAACATCATTATCTGGGTCATAATCAACTACAAATTTGTTCATTTTTTTCTTCTTCTGAGATGGTTTCAAGTTTCGGGAACGATAATTGACATGTGCTGAGGCATTTGAAGTGTTACCACCTGAAGTCTGTCCACTACAAGGGGTACTAGTGTAGACTTGAAAGTCCATATCATCATAATCGTCAATATCGCTTGTCTCCTTGTTTTCACCATTCTCATCTTCATTATCGAATTTCCAGGGTTCCTTCCTTGCGCACGACCTCCTAGGGTTCCTTCTAGGTGTACAATCATTTTCCACATGCGAACTAGTAGATGCCATGTTCTGTACTATTAGCTGATAGAATACTCACTTGTAGCAATTGATGAAACAGCAGATATATCAACGGCACGTTTCTGAATTCGTGTGAACAGATCTAGTCTGTATAATCAATGATGCATTCACCGAGAAAAGTAAGTCTTCCAAAAAGACTTACATTACGCACATTTATTTATTTGGACAATAATTACAAACCCAGTTCCATCAGTATTCACCTGTGAACTACCCAATTGTGCTACTACCGCAAAAGAACTTGACGGTGACATGCGATTAACAAACCATCTCTTTAGGTGGAATTGCTCTTTTGACAGAAAACATCTGATGCCTTTCGGCACTGTGACGAAACAGCGATGCACATTGGTGTACGTTCAGACATACATTCCGCTTCAGCGTTGCCATACATTCAACCAACCACATTGCAGAGCACGATCTCTGAGAAAAATATTTGCGCACCTAGCGGGATTCACATCAACTATAAAAGGGTATAAAGTCTCTCGATCAGGTGAATGCTGGTGGATGCGCGGCAAGTTCAAATAATGCCAGTTGTTTACTAATTTTATAACCAGAAGAAGTAGTATTTACGACAAAAAATAAATCAAGTTTAATGTTTAAGTTTAATCGCTAATTTTAGAAGAATTTCTCCATCAATGAACTAAAACAGAAAATTAAAATTAAAATAAAATAATACAAATATTATGGAATGTATTACACGCGCACGATCTCTTGAATTCCGGAATACTTATCCTCATTCCTTTACTAATTTTAGTTGAGTTCATAAAAAATGATAGCAGCAATCGTTATTGACAAAATATAACAGAAATATTCGCTTCTGTGTAATAAAACTATTTGCATGAAAATATGAACTACAGATTCGATATAATACTCAGTCGACAAAAAATCTAACTCCCCACTCATCTCGCATCTAGTGAAATAAGGTCTCAAACTAGTGGTGTTACAGAATAGCACAGACTTTCCCGTATTAGTTTTCTATTTCCTTTGGTCTCGGTTAGCTATACTAACTTTCCACATCCTCTTGCCGGCTGCCATCTATCGCCTCCCAAAGTACATTTTTTTAAAAAAACTTTTTACGTTTTCGGTCCCGTTTTCTTCTTACGTTTCGTTTTCGGTTCCATTTTCGGTAGAACGGATTTTTTCCAGAAAATATTCTTATATTCTTTAATCTTTAGTTTTTAATAAAAGAACACTCAAACGTCGTCCTAAATGGCAATTTTCATTGAAAAACTTGGTGCATTTTTTTTAAGAGCGAAACAATGTCTCAGTGTCACAGTGTTGTTCCAGAACTTGTGAAGACAACGGCGCTTAAGCACTGCTGTAAATTCGAAATTTGGAGCTCTTTTCACAGAAAATGCTTGAGTTTTCAAAAACTTCATTAGAAATTATTCGAAGAACTTTCACTCACAAATACACTAACGTTTACACATTGTTGAAAATCTGCATATTAACAGCGTGAGAGAGCTTTCAAAATAATTACATTTGTCTAATTTTCGAAGAAAAAAATACCCCGAAATGAATTTTACGTTATATTAAAGTGTAATTAGCACTATCCGTTCAAAAAAGTTTGAAAAAAATTTAGAGCCGTTTTTGAGAAAATGGCGATTGAATGTTTCTGAAAATGCAGAAATTTGAGCTAGTTTTCACAGAAAACTGTTGAGTTTACGAGAAACTTTATCTGGCATTATTTAAAGTACATGTACTCATAAATATAATAATGTGAACACATCGCCACTCATATAAACGACGTGAGAGACAAGTCAAAAAACTAACATTTTTGAAATTTTTGAAAACACCAAAGATAGAGCAATATGGCGTTTATGTCATCGTATACAGTGAAGTTAGTACTATCCCCACCGAAAGTTTAAAGAAAAAAAATTGGACCGCTTTTGAGAAAATCTTGATTTTGTATTTTTTTAAAACTGCACATATTGCTCGCAATATTGCGCGAAAACTGCTAAAATTTTCAAAAAAATGTACATGACCTTATTGAAGGAATTCGCTAAGGAGAACAAATTTAATTTGAAGGAAAAATATCGTCAATTTCATTGTTGTAGGAAGACGCCCGAAAAATTTCAGAATTTTCGAAAATGCAGATTTAACCCTGAAAACCAGACCTATGACACCTTTATAAATGTATTTTCCTCTATTTTTCAAGAAATTTTAAGAAAAAAATTGGAGCCGTTTTTGAGAGAATTTTGAAAATGTCTGGGGGAAGGCTACATGTAAAGTACCCTCAAATTTTGAAAAAAGTATTTCAAAGTAGAAGCGCCTCAAGTGGAGCCAGACAGACCAGGTAATATCCGTTTTGGAAAAAATTCTACGTATGGTTTAGGCGCTAATAATGCTCACAGACGGGCGGACAGACGGACGTTTCAAAAAAATAACACTTTTTCGGTATCAGAGGACCCCAAAATGTGTATTTCTGTTAAAATCGATTTTCCGCAGCATTACACAACTTTCTTTATACTACATATATTACTCCATAAAAGGTACGTATAGGGGAAAGTAAAAACATGATATGCCGATAATACTAGTGGTTCTACAACAGCACATACTTTCTCGCATTATTTCTAACTTTTGCTGTTTTCAAAAACTTACTGACTTCAACTAAAATGAGACATGTGCTATTGTTTTAGACGCTCCTTGTTTTATTCGCGGAAACAACTCGAAGAAAAAATTTCGAGTGGTTTTTGAGAAAAAGTTTTTTTTTCTAATTTGCATTAAATTCTAGGAGAAACTGCGCGAAAACTACTCGTTTTTTGAAAAAATATACAAGACCTTTTTAACTGATATTTTAGAACATATTTGATTTAAGACAAATCTCAATCTTGAATATTGTAGTTGTAGGAAGACGCACAAAAAATTGCACTTTTGCAATTTTCGAAAAATTAGGGATTTCAGCCAACATGAGTCCTGTACCATTCTTTAAAGCGTCCTTTACGCTATCCGAGGGCAAAGTTTAATAAAAACATTTTGGAGCCATTTTTAAGAAAATTTTGAAATTGTTTTTTAGACTTCATGTAAAGTACTTTAAAAAATCAAAGAATCCGTTTGAAACTCCCAAAGCCTCGAGTGGGTTCAGATCGATAGGAAAATGTCAATTTTGGAGAAAATCGGCAGAACGGTTTAGGCGCTAGCGTTGACCACAGATGGACAAACAGACGTTTTGCCGTTAATCGATTTTTCAGTACCAGGGACCCACTAAACGTGGATTTTGGCTAGGATTCTAGGTGTTAGAGGAAGTAATTTACTGTACAGGAATATGATTTATCCACTTTTTCGTTGCCAGGGGCCGACAATAAAATATTTTCCTCTCGAAAACTCGCCGTTTTCCGGCGCACGATTACAGTACTTTCTCTTCTTACGAAGTAAGTGTGAGAAAGAAAAAAATGGAAATTTTTGGATAATAATCAAAAGAGGTAAAAAATCACTAAAAAGTATATAATACATTAATTAATATAATATAATTAAAGGGTTATGATGGTATTCCACAGATAAAATTGAAAGTTTTGGAGATTTAAGAATGAACATGTTCAAGAAATAAGAAGTTTGTATGAAGGTGCAATATCTATATTAAAAATTGGAAAAGAATTTCAGAGGATATTTTAATTACAAAAGGTTTGGAGTAAGTTTGTCCTCTACTTTGTTCATAGTATAAGGGTATGTAGTTTATTGTACATATGTAGTTTATACTTGAAAATATGGGAAAGAAAATGTTTTGAAATGAGAATTTCTATTGAAAATGAAATTATGTATGAAATGTATAAAATGAGGTGGAGACAAATTTCATTATAAATCAGTACTTTATGCACTGTATTCAGTTAGTATGCACTTACAATAAATATCTTCTGGAGACTACGAAAAGAAATGCTGAAGTACCACTTGCAGTAAGTTCGTTGCCGATTTTCTTGCCGCCAGAAGATATACCTTTCGTAGGCAACTCACAGTATTTCCAACAATCAACACAGAACTTAGGCGTGGTCTGCGAAACTGTCACTATCACACACTCTACGCCATAGCCGGGTCATGTCCACGCTCCGGCCCTCCCGCTGTATATCCGTGGCCTAGGCGGTCCTAGACTCGTTTCCGCTGCTCGCTGACGCGGTTAGCGTCCTGCTGCTTTGTGCTCTTTAATATAGAGCGCGCGCCAACCTCAATGTTCGCTGCAATATTTAAGTCAAGGTTCAGTGATGAAAGTACAAGAGAATTGTGACGCAGAATATATGTTTAGAAAATAAAACGATCGTTCTACGGGGTTCCGTCCGCTCTACAAAGCCCTCGCCAGGTGTCGTCGCTCCGGAGGCTGGCCGCCGCGTGTGCCCGGCGCCCCCACAGCGTCACCCTCACCGCCGGCCTTCCCCACGCCGGTGGCCACCCACGCCTTCCCCGAAGGGCCTGTAGCCTTCAACCCCCGAAAAGGCACGTCCACATATGTCCCCGGAACAGACTAGCGAGCAGAACCACCGCGCGAGACACACAGGCAACTTTGCCGGCCCGGCGCCTCCTGGTTGAAGCATTCTTCGCGCTCATGTACGGATTATAACTCAATGCGCTTCGCGCGCGTGACAACGGTGCCCTCGGCAGGTCGATCGTTTGGCTAAGCGCGCTGCCTTGTCTTCGTCGAGGAGACACTGAACGGGTTGTCGCCGTATGTAGTCGCAGTGAATCTGCCGTCGGCGGGAACCACATTGCGATATGGTCAGGCCCTATTCATACCGTCAGTCACCGGTGTGAGACCGGAGAGAGACTGTGTGTTGCAAGCAAACTCCTGCTGCCAGGGTCCAAACTAGGGCCAGATTCGTAGACAAGCTGCGACTGCGGGGCGACACACGCCCCCCGGCTTGATATCGAAAATTATCTAGCTTCGTCCGGCTTCACAAATTCAAAGACACGGGATGTCATTGGAATCACCGATTTTTCGAAAATTGCAAATGTTTAAACTTTTTTTCGGCAGCTCGATTTGCACATCTATTCAACAATTACGATTTTTTTGTCCATGGTTTCTTATATAAATTAATGATGCATCATCTTCCCTTAGAATAATATATGTGGAGGAGAGACCTGTAAGGTTTTTACTGATTTTTATATTTTAATGTCATGTTGTCACTTTTCTGTTCCGACAAATTGATTCATTTTCAGAACTTTTTAAAAGAATGTTCTTAAATATTTGTGAAGTACTATATCTAATTGTAAAATAAAATTAATAAAATAAATAAGTTAATATGTTAATTAAATTTATATGTAAAGATACTAGACGAGAATCAGCCATGTGAACAAGTAGGTTTCCACTCAGGATTCAACACAGTAGACCCAATCTAAACAATCGACCAGAGCATAGAAAAGACAGACGAATTTAACTTACCATTAGGCTTTTGTGGATTACACCAAGACATTCAACTC